ATAATATTGATGAATTTGACGATATTGTCGCTGAAGATTTGGATATTTCTGATTTTCACGGTTACGATGACCAATGATGGCTAAGTAAACGACTGATCTATTGAACTTTGGCTTTGCTTTGTTGTAGGATATGCGTCGAAATAATTATGGGTGGGGGGTGCTAGTCTTACTTATTTGGGATTCCAGCCGTTTCGCAATGCAGGTTTTGCCCGGGTAGAAGCTATATGGAAAAACCGCATATGTTGACAGAAAAGTGCTTGTTACAAAAATATTTGATGCTTGCTCATTTCGAATTTATTACTAGATCGAATTTAAAATTTCTTAGTAATTGAATATTTTTTGAATTTTATGGTTTGATTATATTATTTTTTTGCCATAAGCTTTATCTCGCACGTTTCTGGAAAATAGCGGGCCTCCGCTAATTTAATATGATTTTGTTTGTTTTAACAATATATTTTTATTAACATAACAGATATATATATATATAGTATGAAGATAAATTTAGATATATTTATTTTATATAAATATTGGATATATTTATATTGAATATATTTAAAACTAATTATTTTAATATATATTAAGATTATAATTATAATTGAAATATATATATATATTTATGTTGATTAAATTTATTTTGAAATAATATTGTTAATTAATTGTTGTTTAAATAATTACAAGTATAAGTATTTTAAATTTTATTGATTATAATATATTAATATTATATATGGTATTTAACTAAAAATTAAAATATATATAAAAATGGTCCTTGCCGATTAAGCATATGTTATGGACTCTTGGGGTATAACTGTCTATATCTTTAAATTTACCATATTTTTTAATAGATTTCCTATGTTTTAATATATATTATGTTTTTTTTTTTCATAATTTGATCATAATATATCTATATGTCATTTTTCTTTTTATATCGATTAAGTAATTAGCAAATAATATGCGACGAACTTGGATGGAGCTATGGACAAGAAATAGGAAAATATGCATGGGTAAAGGAGGAACAAAACAATTTGACATAAAACCCTTCTTATTGTATAGAAGTATATGGGAATATCATAAACAAATTAGCTTAATTGATCAATTTTCTATAATTATATTTGTTAATTCTTAGAAAAAATGTTATATGAATGAATATTTATATTTATAGATAATCATCTATATTTAATTTATTTATTGTCATTTGTTTAGTAGTTTATTTCTTATTTTTGTTAAATTTGTTTTTTTTTCTGAAATATATATATAATATTATTTTATGATTGAAAAACATATAATTATTTAAATATAATAAATGTATGGCACATGTATTCTATTGCAATAAATATTAAAAATCAATATTAAATATTAATTAATTCAATTAATAAAAAATTATTTAAATATAAAAAACTAGATCTTAATTATATATTATTATTTGTTATATTATTTTATTCTAATATTAAATATTGTTGAACCAATATTAATTAATATTTCAATCTTAAAAATACATTAATTAGCCAAATTGTAAAATAATTAAACATAATCATTATAAATACCAAAATCAAAAAATCAAATTCCAAAATAATTCAATAAACCTATATTTATTAAGATATTATTATCGATATTCCCTCCTATCCTTAATATAATTAATTTCAAGCCAAATAAATAATAATAATAATAATAATAATAATAATAATAATAATAATAATAATAATAATAATAATATATATACCTATCTCATTCCCATCTTTAAATCCCATACCGAAAAATATATATATATATTTTAAAAATATAGAATAGAATATGTTTATTATTATATATAAACATATTTAAAAATATAAGCAAATTATATATAATTATGCATAATAACACATACATATAAACATATTACAATTAAGTCTATTAAAATAACAAAATACAATCACAAAATACAAAAATAGACGAACAAATAAAACAAACAACCACCATAAACCGCAAAACAATATTCACAATAAATATAATCTAACCAATAATAACACTAACAACGACAACAACAACATTAACAACATCAACAACAACAACAACATCAACAACATCATCATCAACAACAAAAACAAAAAACACACCTCCCCCACTTATAAAGAATAGGGGACCTAAAAATATATATATATATATATTCTCGAAATCCCCCCTTCCCATTCATACTCTGAAAAAATATGGTAATTTCAATATCTATATTTACACTAAACAATACCTCAAATTCACCAATAAAATCGTGTATTTATATATATATATATAAGTCTACGCCTCTTTATATTTAAACGATATTATCTTTGGTGGTTAATTAACTGTTTAACTAGTTGTTTGGTTATTTATAATTCTGAAATATATATTATTATTTCGATTAATTGTTTAACATGCCAAAACAAGAATGAATATATATGTATCTAAATATTCCCACCCTTAATGCTGCTATTATGTGTCTTTGGGTCAGGAAATGGCCCTTTTAATCATCATACGGGGTTGGGCCTCTCCCTAATATTTATATGTATTCGTAAGCTATTTACTAAGTGTAACAGTGTTTGCCAGCTACTGACCAGGCGCGTGTTTACGATGCTTGCAAGCGACCTGCAGCTTCGGCAGCGCAAGCCGCGACTTGCACAACTGCCGCCTTCAAAGCGGTTACGCTCCAATAATATGAACAACAGACTCTTTCATACCTCCGTAGTGCGAGGCTCGCCTTAATCGCCTCCTTCTCTCCCAGCTTGATGCTATCCCCAGGTTTGCTGTTCTTCGATAGGCCTTTGCCGATGGTGACGACTAATGGTTACAGCAACACTACCAAAATACGGACTAAATATTGCAAAATAAATCTTTATAAAGAAAGAAGACGAAATAAAATATAAACCGAAAACACCTCCAATTCAGCCATTATAACCAAACAAACATTCTTTCTTCGGCACATAGACCTGCCGAACGAAGGTTCCCTCAAAAACGTATGAATAGCCAATACCCAGCATACGATCTAGTTATTATCCGACGACAATTTATTAAACCCAACCGAGGCCCAGCCATGGCCAAGCCATCACCCAGCCGCCGTCCAACCGTCATCCGATTACGATCCGGCCGTAACCATCCCGCAATCCAACCAAAACAACAATGATTTCGCCGACAGACACGTCTTGTCGCCGGTGTCTGCCAAATTTATTACCGGCCAACAAAACGAAGATTTATTAGCCCATAAACGGATCTTTTGCTTAAATCTGTTTATGCGACCAAGAATCTGCTTCTAGCCACGGGTCATAAATAATTGGATAATCGAAAACACCAAACACCCATACACAAAATATACTAAGCCACATCTTACTAAGCCATACGGTGTCGTCATTACCTCCGCCAACGTTACCGCCAACCCGGCCAACCAATTTAAATACCCGATTTAGATGGGTATTTCGCATTACGTCTTAAAAATTTGCTTCTGGCCCGACTCCCCATATCAATTTGTTTATTATTTGTTGCCAATTATATCTTCCGCAACCAATCGGTTATTATAAGATTTGTTAAAAACAAACAAAATCCATCCCAAAAAATCAAGAGATTCACGAATTTAAAGCAATATCGAGGAACGGGAGCGAGACTCAGCCCTTGCCTCGTAATCGGGGCCTAGCCCAACGTAAAAGGATTGGCAATCTATAATACAATAAACAATTCAGCCCAAATCTTCAAATCGAGATGCTCGAGGACATTAACCACAAAACAGAGTCGGGAAATAAAATCTCGCCCATCCATAATCCAGCATCACTTTAAGCACGGAGAATTTAAAACAATACACATCCCGTCCGAAATAAGGGGCATTCATATCTTCTTCATGAATCACATAAATACGGCCTAAACAGCCGTACTTAACTCCGTAATTCCAAGCAATTATATAATATAGAATTACACAAATATAAATTTATACCAATATAACGCCTTAAATTGGATTCGTGCAATCTAATTTAGCAAGAGTTAATACAATATAACTACCAACAAAGGCTTAAATTCTCATATGCCCTGTTTTTATAAGGAAAGAATCTATCTCGGTGTTATCATTTAAATGCCCCAACCCTATCTCCCAACCCTAAAACCCAAGCCCAACCCCCATATATTTAGAAATCATCACCATATCTTTCAATATCCCCACCAAATTATATTTTAATTTCCAATCACAAATCATTTATAACAATACAACAATTTTCAATATCTCAAATATAACAAACAACCACCAAACAAAACGAACAATCATCCAACCACAACCATTAATATCCCAATTCTTATTATCAATAATACAAGCTAAATCATAATCAATATACCAAAATTCTATATCCAAAATATCATAAATAGTCAACATACAAATATATCAAGCTTTCAATCACCAAAACACCATATCCCAAATTCAAACCAACATAAACTACAAATATATATATATATATATATACATATAAATTTCAAAATATATAAAATCAAAAAAATATCCCCTACATAATAATCTTCCAATCCAATTCATAATCATAATGTGTCATCACTATTTCCAAAAACACCATATCCGACCAAAAACCAACAACAACCTTTAATTATAATAATTCTTATACAATTTCATTATAACATCTATATAAAATCCGATAATAAATTCTTTATTAAAACCTTAACTCAAAACCGACCCAAACCACCCCAACATACATTCATATACATATTTCACCACATTTCCTCCAATCTAAACAACACCTAAACAAAAACAACTACAAACCATTTTCAATATTCGTTTAATATTTCAATATATATATATATATGTTTCTAAAATAAAAACCCCCAATTCTAACGAAGTCTTTTGCCGAAATAATAAGGTGATTTATATAAGTATATACCAACAACTTCATGTAAAACATAGATTTTAGGAGATAGCATGTATATATATATATATATATTAGGAGGTACCATATATATATATATACATATATATTATAATATATATATATATATATATTGATGAATGTTTTATATTCGTTGGAGCGGGTTGTCGTTCCTATGGCCTGGAATTTAATCGATTTCAAAGGGGAAATTCAGATTAATGTTTCAACCAATTCCAGACACGAGTCGGAAACCAATGCTTAAACCATGAACTGGCATATGTGCCTGCTAAATGTGAAGCAACGCCTTGGCCAACACTCTGTACATGTTAAGCGAGAGCGATTTCAAGAACTCAAGATCGATAGCACTCAGAAATGACCCTACGACTCATCTGAATCCTCCTCATCCTCATCTTCCTCACTGTGATTCTGCTCCTCCTCCTCCTGCGGCTCCTCTCGCGGCTTCTTCGCTGGATGAGACTCACCTCGGGCTTCCGCCTCTGCTTTCTCTCGAACATGCTTCTCCGTAGGGCTCTCGAAGTTGTTCAGCTCCACCAGATATCGCATGCGCACCTGCGCCGGGTCGTAGACGATGAACTCGCTGTGGCCCAAGCAGCCACTCTGACCATGCTGTCTGCCGCCAAGTGGCAACTGCGCACCCCCAGGCTCATAAAGCCCATTGGCCCAATTCGGCTGATCGTGGCCAACTCCCCAAGTGCAGTTGGTGCCGGCTTGCGGCTCCTCCATGTAGATTGCCCCGTGGCTGGGGAACATGTTTCCCAGGGAAACATCACAAAGCAACATGTACACGGCTTCCTGACTCCCCATGGCGGAATAGGCGCGGGACTTCTCGAACATGTCTGCAAAGTAGATGCCCTTTCCGAACATGTAGCCTTGCACTGGCGCCTCCGGTGGGGCCACCCGCAGGCCTTGGGACAAGATGCTGATGAAGTTGGAGCGCCTGGAGCCGTGCCACAGCAACCGTCGGTTCCCCAAGTCCTTGAACCTCTCCGCCTCCCCGTCGCGGGCGATCCGATAGATCCCCGTGACCGTGTCGCCGCGCCGGGAGCCCAGGAAGGGGTTCTTCCGCTTCTGGCCCAGCGCCTCCGGAAGGTCCCCGGGTTTGGCGGCCGTGGGAGGATTGCCTCAGCCGGTTGCCCAAAGGACCTGGGAATAAAAGGCGAAGCTTTTGGGGGTCATGACTAAAACGGACCAAACGGGAAAACCAAAAGGTGCATCGATTCGCTTTGCAAGTGGCTAGAGGTGGAGGCCATGTAATCCATCAATGCCTTGAACTCGGCGCTCTCAGGGTTCACCCGTTCAAAGGCCATGCCCATAGACTGGCTGCAGTAATCCAAGGGATTCACCTTCTTCTGCCAATGCCTGGCTCCCAGCAACGTGCGCAAACCCGCAGAGGCTTCTCGCAGATTGATCAGCATCTCAAACTCCTTGGCCAAGGCATCGTCACTCTCCAAGGGCCTTGCCAAGCTGTGCGAGTCATGGCCACAAACTGAAAGGAGCGGGAAGATGGGGTTGCCCCCCCTTTAGGTAACCTCACCACCAGAATTTGGGGGGAAATACAAACAGATCACTGGCCGTTTCGATGCCGGGGGAAACAACACCTCACTGGCTGAGTGGATGGCCCAAAAAAAGTCCAAACTTTATTTTTTACCACTCAGGAAGAAGTGAGAAACATGAACCCGTCCGTCACTTTGGTGCGCCCGTGCCCCCATCCGTCACCCCGAGCCGGCCTTGCCACCTCGGTGGTCCCCGCACCCCGCGGCACCAGCTCAAAGTAGCGCGAGGACAGCTCCAGGATCCGCTCGCGCACCTCGCGGCTCGGGGGGTCGAGCCCTACATGGGTTGGCTTCATCAGGTAGGAAAGAGATAGAACTCGCCTTTTCATTCCTTGGCGAGTTGATGAGAAAGAAGTAGACAGGGATGAGTCACATGACGGCAGGAATAGACGAAGAGATACCAATCACCCAAACACATGGTTTTGTTTGGGGCGGGGGTGAGGGGGGGAGGCGGGGGATGAACATCAAAGCACCCATGTGTTTTTTTTGTTGGGGGGGGGGGGTTCTCCCGGGCTTCTCCCCGAAAAAAAATTGGACACCACACAAGTAGAATGGGAATTTGGGGTACCGCAAAGCTAAATGAAGACGGTGGGAAACTCGTGTCAGTCAGCCCCTGGCAAAAATCGAGCCACGGGAAGGCCCGGCTGTGCCAAAATCCTTGGCTCTGAGTCAGAAGCGACTCATGGCGTAGTAAATATGTGGAGCTCCATATGGCCATGAGTCAAAATCCCCTCCCAAGTGAACATCAACCAATCCAACCACTAAAATAGGTTCTAAAATGGGTGCTGAATTCACCTACCAACCAAAATGGGATCCCAAAACGGTTTTGACCACCACAGCCATATACCATGTCCTTCCAGAACTCCGATCATCTCCTTAGCTCCCTCCTGAAAAAGGCAAATTTGGTATACCCCCTCCGAAAGGCCTCCTGCCAACCAGCTAGATGATCTGGCATTTTCTGGCTCCTAGATTCCGGGAAATGAGGGATGAGCCCAAACTGTCGCAGCCAACTAACCCAACGGTGATGCCCTGAGAACGAGCAGCTTTAGGATGAGGCTAAAACAAAAATGCAAAGAAGCCTGGGTTTGGGATTTCAAAAGGCAACAGCAAGTGAATGGGGGTGACAGAAGCACCAATTCATGAAATGCACAAACCGCCGCTTGAGCATACGTTTCTCATGAGCCTTTCATGCCCTCAAAACGACCCTTCCTCCCACTAACAAATACGAAAACATGATCTTCCCAGTTTCCTCGCATAGATGCCATGTTTGTGTGAGATAGGGTACCCTTTGAACAAGTGTTTCCCAGATGTAAGTCTGAGAACCCCGTGACACGGCGTCAAAACCGCGAGCAGAATATGTACCGTGCACGCGTTGGTTTGAACTTATATAGAACATCGGAGACCTGGCCAACCAGCAAATAAACAACTGCTAGCCACGTTGACTCAGCCGCGCTCAGTACTTAATTTAGCTTTGCCGGTGCACAATTTATTGAACCGCCAGTGACTTACTCAGTATTGCCAGTGCTGATTTCAGTTTTGCCAGCGTTGCATTAAGCATTGCCAGTACTACATGCAGTTTTGCCAGTACTAAAGCTAGTTTTGCTAGCACTTAACCGTATCATTGCGAGCCCTTAGATTGATATCGCCAGTACTTAATCTAGTATTGCCAATACTAAATTTAGTACTCTAGTAAATTTAATATTGCCAGCACTTAGTGTGGTGTTGCCAGCACTCAACTAACATTGTAACGAGTACTGCAATCCTTCATTTAGTATTGCTGAGACTTTGTGTAACCAGTACTTAATGCAGTACTGCAATACTCATTTTAGTAATTGTAGTATTGCCAGTACATGCTTAATTTATTGCTAGTAGTCGTGCCAAAACTTATGTTAGTAGTGCCAGTACATATTTTATTTATCACCAATACGTCAAATTTATTGCCAGTGCTAAATCTAGCATAGTACTCAATACCTTCAAACTCTTGAAGCTGGCCCAACTTGGCACGCTCTTTCCCACTAGCTGCCACCACTTGCGTACTTGCGACGGGGCGCACAAAGGGGGACTTGCGGCTTGTGCTCACGTTCTAACTCTACGTGCTAAGTGTGGCGCTGCTTTCTGACGTTCTGTGGAGCAAACCACATGTTCTCAGCTGGGATTTGTCCCATGCTCTAACTGTGAGTCAGTCACTATAAACCAACCCAAGAAGGTGTCCCCCCCCTCCCCCTCAAATCAAAAAACTTCCCCCAAAAAAAAGAAAAAGAAGAAGAAACACAAGCTGCCAACAAAAGGCAAAGGGGAGAACCCCACCACCCCCTCCCTAAAACCAGAATCCACATGCAATGACCAAAAAAGAACACCTCAGCCACCCCCGCCGCCCTTTCCCCCCCGAAAACAGAACCCCCCCCGCCCCACAGCCCGCGCCTCGTTCCGCTTCTTCGAGGCCTCGAGCACCTCCTCCGCCTTGGCGAAGCCGAACTTGGGCGCCCCGCGGGCCTTCCGCAGCTCCTCGAACCAGACGAGACACACATCGATCCGCCAAACTGGGCGGGCGGGCGGTCCCCCAACATGGGGGTAAAGCAGTTCAGCAGTTCTGCTGTTGGCTTCCCTAGTGGGCGGAAAAGCAAGTCGCTTTAGGAGTTGAAGCGGGGTTGGGGTGGACTTGGGGTGAACTTGGTTGGGGGTGGCGCAAGTCCTTTTAGGAGTTGGACCCCCACCAAAATGGCGGCAGCAGTTTTCCTTTTGGCTTCCCTCAACGCCAATTGGGTGGCTCAACCACTTTGCGATCGGTTTCAGAAGGGAATGAGACATCGTTTGGAGATTCCCGAAATCACGAAACCATGGGGGATGGTTTTTCTTGGGGTCATTCCAAGTCTCATTCCCTGCCTATCGCACCAGCAAGTTCAGTTGCTGGGGTGTGGTTCTGGACCTGGTCGCGGTGGGGCTGGAGTGGTGAGTAGGAGTTATTGGGTCCAATGGAGTCAGAATCAAAACCTATCGGGTGTTAAAATGGTCTAGAACCATGCAAATAATTGTCAAAGGCTCGGCTTTTTTCAGGTTAAACCCCCCAAAAACAGACAACCCCAATTGAGTGGCCAAAGTCTTTTCTGGAGTTGGAGTTCCTCTTCTCCAATTGCGATGGTCAAAATCTGATTGTTTAACCGGTTGGGATGGATGAAACCCTAGTGGTAAATTGGGCACCTAGAATGGGACAAGGGTCTGAATTCGGTCGGTGAAGGGAAACCAAAGGAAAACACATCCATTCACGACTTTCGGGCTGGAGCCCCCGATAGGTGACCTTTTGGGAAATCTTGGCCCGAAAAAAACCCATCTAAACCACTGGAACCCTATTCTCCTTCTATCCAAACTAACCAATCAAAAGGACACGTATGCAAAGAGCAGTTTCCCTCTAGCTGAAATGGGGTCGTAACCATGGTTAAGTTCTGGATTTCCATGCGACCAAAGGTGGCAGCTTGTTGCTTGGTTAATTTATTTTTGGTGGAAACGAACAAAAGCCCTCAACAATTGAGCAAAGTGGATGGTCAAGTGTAAAATCGCCATGGCTCCTTCAGCTCCGCGTTGGCTGTCTTGATCTCCCCCAAGAGGTTCTTGGCCTCTCACATGCCGAAACCATGTTGCTCAGTATGGGCGGGCCCGTCTTTGTGAGGGCACCTCCTTGTTTGTGGGAAAACCAACAAGAAAGACGGATTCCATTTTGGGGGATCCAACTCACTCTAAAAGAGAAAGAACAAAAACAAGAAGAGCAGGGTCATGGGACCCCTAAAAACACGCGTTGGCCATGCGGCCTCCAATTAGATGTCGCCTTTCTCGCAACATTTGAGTGGCTTTGGTTTCCACCTTTTTGAGAAGCCACTGGTCTCTTTCAACACCTACAAAGAAATTCTGCCCATGGCAAATGGGTGTCTCTTTCAATAGGGGGACCCAAACCGGACAGCAGACTTCGGTGTGGATTCATGTGCCACTTTTGAGGTGGTTCCCTATCTACAAATCACAGCCAAAAGGATGTTCAAAGCACCGGGACTTTTTACGCCCTGCCTCATCCAACGTGGCTCGCGACAGACTGCCGAAGGGCATGGACTGTGTCTTGATACCCATGGATTTCACCGCTTGCAGGATATGCTCGGGGTCGCAAATGCAATCCAGCGTTCGCCAAAGCATGTGGGGCAGATGGCTCCTGGAGAAAAAAGCTGTGAGACTCATATGGGCTCATGGGGCCTGCACGGAGGAACCGGGGGGAGGCAAATAGGGCCTTATCAAGGGCTCCTGGGCACAAAACTGTGAGACTGATATGTGCGTGTGTGTGTCGTTTTTTGGGGGGATCCCGAAACATTGTGGTTGTCCTAAGGGGGGCACCTACTCAAACGAGACAGTTCGATGGGTCATTGCCATGACTCATTCAAGGGATGATTTTGGCATCTCGGAAAGTGGCCCTAAACCAAACTTTGCACATATATATATATATATATAGTATGTATATATATATATAAATATATATATATATATGCATTTTGTGTGTATATATAATTTGGTATGTTGTATAGTTTCCACCATGATGACGTTTCCCATGATGATGCTTGGGGTTCCTTTGTTGCGGGTCCATGCTTGGCTCAAGATAAAAAAGGAAACAATCAAGATAATCATAAGGGTTGTTGTGGATAAATGTTGCTGGTTTTCCCACCCGAGGGATGCACCCCTAGTGGTGAATATGCCACCGACAAACCATGTTTTACCCAAGACACCCTAGAAATAGCGGTGAAACCTAGAAATAGTGGTGAATTTAATTCCTACACCCTAGAAACCGTAGAAACAATGGTGAAACCCTTAGAAATGGGAGCTGATCAAAAGGTCCTTTGCATTTACCAGTGTGGAAAACCACTCAAGAGCTAAGGGGAAAGGTCCCCATGGTCATTTGGGGGCCCCTAATTTTTCGATCATCATGGGGGGGCTGCCGCCCCCCCCAACCCCTCCGCAATGTTTTAGACTTTTTGCGCCTGATTGAATCATCACTTTTTCGATCATCATGGGGGGGGCTGCCGCCCCAAGCGCCTTTAATTGAATCATCACTTTTTTCAATCATCATGGAGGGAATTGCCCCCCCCCCCCCGCTACGTTTTAGGTGTTTTACAGGGATTAGTTTGCCCGTGTTTGAATCCTCACTTGTACCATGAGGCCTTGCCGCAGAGGAACTGATGACCCCCGGCTGTTTTTTTCTTCTTTTTTTTTTGTTGGCCGGAACATTGATCAACCCCCAAACTACTGTGGATGGACGAAATCCTGCACCACCTAAGAAACCCTGGAATGATGATTCCCTGTAAATACCAGCAAACCATGGTTTCCCTCGGTTTCAAAGCGGTGCAAGGATTTCGTCCACCCACAGGTAGCGGTCAATTCATTCCAGGGGTAGCTTCCCCATTCTTTCCAGGGATCCTTCTTTCTAGAAAACCTCCGGAAACCCAGGGAAAAAAAGGAGGTTTTTTGAGTTGTTTGCAAAGAACGAGAGTTGAAAAGAATGGAAAAAGGAATCAACCCCTAGATTCATGGGCTTTTCTCCCCAGGCTGTGGGTCAAAACCCTGTGATGAACATCAAAATAGGTGGCTAAAATGGATGTTCAGGATTTTGTTTTTCTTTTCGGGTCCTGGCACAAACCTCCGGGTCGAAGGCTTGCACCATCTCCTCGCTGCGCGCGGTGGCGCGGCGCCGCTTCAGCAGCTGGTACTTGTTCGGCTTCCGCTCGAAGCTGGCGCCACTGGGATCCCACCTTAGCTGGGCAAACCAACGGCCAGTCAGTCGCACGGTTTTGAGGTTCACCACGGGACGGCTTGAGTGGTCCCGGTGGTACCTGGGAAAACTTGAACGGGAAAATCCCCGGGCCAATCGGATAACCAAAACGGCGAGTCAAAACCAGAACTGCGGATAATCGCCTTCCAACCATTCATCCCGGGATCCCGGGACAATCAATTCCAACCATAACTGCGGATAACCGCCTTCGAACAATTCTTGAAGCATGCTAAAGACTACCATTTTTCTACCGGGTGTTGATTGTGACTTTTTTGGCAGTCAAGTGGCCATGTCTCAAAATCCAAATCGTACCCCCAGTGAACATCAACCAATCCAACCACTAAAATAGGTTCTAAAATGGGTGGTGAATTCACCTACCAACCAAAATGGTACCATTGGTTTTGACCCACAGCCAAATAAGTACTCAAAATGGGTTACCCATGTAAAATGAAACCAAGGACGAAACAACCTGCGGTTGTTTGGTGGTTTCATTTTGACCCAGACGCAGATTGGTATGGTGAAACCATGGTTGAAATCATTGTTTGTCGGTATTACAAGGGAATCAAATCATTCCAGGATTTCTTGCTTGGTGCCGGATTCTGTCAGCCAGAGTAGAAGCCTTCAACAATCGAAAGGTTCCTGACAGTGTTGATGTTGGACATGGTTGCTTGGAGTGTGATGCAGTGTCTGGAAGCCTTGACAGTCAGACTAACCCCGACGCCTTGTTTATATTTTCCTTCTGGTATTCCGTAGACTTGCCGCGTGCGAAGACACGGCTCTGTATGAGACGTTGACGCGTAGAAGCGCTGAACAGCAACAAACTGACTAGTTGTTTAAACAAAAACCCTGAAAACAAACAGAACCACAAAACACAGACACCTAAAAAGACTTGCCAACAACAGTGCAGCCACACATTGCCCGTCTTCTCCTTGAAGACCTTTTGTGGGGCGTGGTTTGAGGCGGAAAGCGAGAGAACAACCAGTAGCCCCTAAAAGACGGGGGTGGTGTTTTGAGGAAAAGAAAGGGAAACCACAACAACAAGCCTTGGGGTGGTATTAAAAGGAAAACGAGGGGAACTCAACAACATTTTAAAATCAGCTTCCCACTTGGCGGTTTGGATTCGTGGTTTGCGGGGGGGACCCCCTTCTTGTACAGGACAAATGGGAAAGCACTTCCTAACCTCCAAACAACCAAACCAAACCATCAAGGGGAAGCTGATGTCCGGGCGGGTTTTTTGGGAAAGCAAAGGGCAACAAAAAAGACACCCATCTTTATGGCCGTGTGTGTTTTTTTGGCGGGGGGGGGGGATTCTCCTTGTTCGGAGAAGAAAAAAAACCAGGGAAGAAAGCCGTTTCTTCGACCCGGCAGCTTGGGAGCTGTTGGCCTGCCTTCCCGAAGTCCTTCATGCCCTCCTCCTTGCTGCCTTGTGGGGTGCGTTGGAACATCCCGGTCTCTCCGATCTCGCCCCAGCGGGTGAAGAGCACGAAGAGGTCCTTGTTGGTCTCGTGGACCAACCTGGGAAGCGATGCAACAGGCTGCGGGTCGAGCTGCGAGAACGAGTTTGGAGGCGCTGCTGCCGCGAACTTGGGCAGCCTCGATTTTCCAAACCGGCCCTGGGAGGCCGGAAGATCTTGAGCCAGGGGGCTGGAGGTGGTAGAAGCGCATCTCATCGCGCTTCAGGTCCACCTTGAAGAGGAGCGCGTCGTACTCCTGCGGAACGCGAAGACTTCAGCTGATCCGAGCCCTGGTTTTGGGAAGCCATTCCCATATCTCAAGGCGGGGGCGGGGGGAGGCTCGGAGAAAAAGGGCTCAATTCGATTTTTGCGGGTGTTGCCTGGGAAGATGGAGCCGTATGGCTCTGGACAAGGTGGGGATCCAAAAAAAGAGCAAAGACAGTTGCAGTTTCGCCCTGGGTGCCTGAGTTAGAATGACCCCTATAACTTCATCCCCAACTTTTGGTTTCCCTACATATAATAGCATTCCCCCCCTTTGGCTTCCCTATATATAACTTCATTCCCCACTTTGGCTTCCCTATATATATATATATATATCATTTCATTCCCAACTCTTTGGTTTCCTAAAACCTTCCCACCCCCTGGAACCCCCTGGACTCGCTGAAGCGAGTCATTTCTCCCCTTCTCCTGGCCCTCCGTCTCCGCAAAGACCCGGTTCTCCCCGGTCATGCCATAGGCCTCACATGGCCACGAAACGTGGAACCAAGCATCGACGGTCACCATTGAAATTTCATAGGAAAACCCCGACCTTCCCAGAAATGGGATTTAAAGACATGGTTAAAGAAAGGGAGGTATGGCTCCGGTGCCCGTTTTTGTTGTGTTTGCTTGAAACACTTTAACCCTGAAAAGGGGGGCTAACTCAAACAAAAAGTTTGCACACCCATGTTCATGGGTTGCTTGGTATCCCTTGAGTAGTTGGGTTATGCCGAACACTTTGTTTAAAAAACCCCACCCCCTCGTGCCTATGCTCTTTGGCTTAGTGAGACCCGATTGAACAATTTTAGGCATCAACCTTGCAACTTTGATGACACCAATGTTGAACGTTGAGCCTATGCTTGGGTGTGCCCAACCCTAAGTACATTACCAATTCATCCGATTGAATTCAAAAAAGGAGGGATGACGAGATGATGCCCTTGGTTGAATCGTTTTGTGGCTAGGCATTGGCTTTTCCCCCACCCCTCAAATCCGCAGCATCCAAAAGGAGCGCGTGATGACCAGAACATTTGCCCAGGATCAATGGACAAACGCAGAGCGCGCACGCGCACGCGGCAATGTCCCTTTGTCTCGTGACGAGAAAAGTCAGAGCAACGCATGTGATTGCAAGCACACTGCAAAACTTAAAAACCACCACCCCACTCAAACAGAAACCACCACCACCACAACCCCCCACCCCCACCCCAACCCCAACCCCAACCCCCCCCCCGCCCCCGCCCCCCCCCCGCCACCCCGCGCCTTGTGCACGGGAATCCTGGTCGGCTTTGCCTCCGCCTCCACTCGCTCCAACTCCTGCCGGGCGTCCGCGTCCACGTCACGGGCCTTGGGCGCCTTCAGCTGAACCACCTCGGGCGGATGGCGTGGGGAGGGTGCAGGGGGGTGGTGGGGGTGGCGGGGGGGGGGGTTGGTGCGGGGGGGGGGGGGTGGGGGGGTGTCGGGAGGGGGTGGGGTAAGACCCCGAACCGCCCCAAGCACCTCCATGGTCACCGGCAGCTGCGCCTTCTGCAGCACCGCAGCCATGCGCCCAGAGCCCTGGCGTTGCGCCAGCGCCAAAGGCGTCAGCTTCTCGACGTCCACCGCCTGGGCCGCCTGCGATGGCGCAGTCGTCTCTGCGGGTTTACCGGTTGTTGTTTGTATCCATGTACATTTCACATATATATATGTATATATATAGGTGTTTGCACGTGTTGTGTACGCATGTGGTTTTTCTGTACCCTTTATGTACGTGGGTTTACAAATTGTCGTTGATAAATGTGGCTGTCTCTCAGTGTTCTCTTAAATGCTTCTCACCATGGGGTTCGAGACCCAAAATGCTTGGGGTTCCTCTGCCAGGCTTTCGTCTTGTGGTTTCACCCTCCCCCAAGACAGACTCAGGAATCCTGTAAAAAAATGGTTTCTGAAGCTGGTGTCCCATGGTTGAGAAGAGTGTCAACCAAAACTAAAAGTCCAAAGATCCAACAATGAAGCCATAAAGCAATGGGATCACCTGCTACAGTGCTCAAAATGCTTCTCACCAGGGATGGATGAACCCCTAGAAATAGTGGTGAATTTACCGCCTACGATCTTGGTTGCTGAAACGACCCCTCTGCAAAAAGTGAATCACTTTTTGTGGGTTCAACCCGGAAAACCCTTGATTTCAACCAACAAGTTAAAGTCTAAAGATCCATTCAACCCAATAGCAATCCTTACCTCCCCAAACAGACCCAGGAATCTGGAAGACGACTTTCCTTTTGGGGAGGCCTTGGCTACTCCCGTGATTGCTCTGGAAGGAGGGTATTTGTGTGGAGGCTCGGTACCGTTTCTAGAAAGGAAGCCACCCGTTTCAACGAGGGGGGGTAGTGGCCTCCCCACCATGTCCTTCAAAGCAAAATGGAGTCTACTCAAACCTGGGCCGTACATTTCGACGCCTTGCGCCCAGCGGGTGTTCGCAGCATGGCCGCCAGCAGACGCGTGCACTCATAGGAGAGGTGGGGGAATGGCTGGATGCAGTGGTGCAGCGCATTCCGCTTCTTCTTGTCCTCTGGGCTTACAATTCCCACAAGGAAGCAAGAAAGAAAGCAAGCCAACAGATTAATAGCAGGGCAGCTTTAAAACATGCCTTGTTTGTAGAACTCCCGAGTCGTTCAACAAACTCGTTTGTAGATTTCCCCGAGTCGTTCACGTGTCCTGATGGCTGGGATCTGCCATGGCCTCCAGCAACTCATCCACCACTTCTTTGCAGTTGGCCAGAACCGCCACGCTCAGGGCGGATCTTCCGTGCTTGTCCTCCCCAGCCTGGTCCGATCGAACCAGCAAAAGGTGGATCATCCTTTTGTAGGTTTCAAAAAAACAACAACACCATGTGCGTCTGTCCTTTTTGAGGTAGGACCATGTTGGACCCCCCAAAATGCTGGTTCTTCCCTTGAAACCACCAAAAAAAAAGCGTCGGAAAGGAAACGCCCATTGGTTTCCAAAAGGTCTAGGCCTTTCACAAAGACCCGCCACGCCTGAGCCGTGCTCGCCTTTGCTTTGAGCAAATGTCGCACCAACGCCGCGTTGCCCAACATGGTTGCGGCCAGCAGCGGCTTGTGCCCTTCGTTGTCCTTGGTTTCTGAAACGACCCCCCCGCAAAAAGTGAATCACTTTTTGGGGGGCTTAGTGGCAAAAATATTTATTTCAACCAAAAAGTTATAAAAGTCTCAAGATCCCTTACCCAATAGCAATCCTTACCTCCCCAAACAGACCTGTAAGGATCCAGGATTTATTTTCTGAACCTGGTGTCCCACCTCCCCCAAGCATGGAGGCTCCCAAAGACTTGGACCCGTTTACAAAGGCCTGGGAGCTTCCATGTCCGGAGGAGAGTACAGTTGTAAAGGAAAGCCATTTTTAGGGGGTCCAACCTTGACAAAAGACACATGGGGGCCGGAAAGAAAAAGGGGCTTTCCCATGGAAGACGACTTTCCTTTTGGGCCGTGATTGCTCTGGAAGGAGGGTACCTGTGTGGAGGCTCGGTACCGTTTCTAGAAAAAACGCCACCCGTTTCAACGAGGGGGGGTAGTGGTCTCCCCACCATGTCCTTCAAAGCAAAATGGAGTCCACTCAAACCTGGGCCGTACATTTCGACGCCTTGCGCCCAGCTGGTGTTCAACACGCAAAACACCTCCCCACCATGTCCTTCAAAGGAGAAGTGAATCACTTCTTGGGGGGCCTTAGTGGCAAAAACCTTTATTTCAACCAAAAAGTTAAAGTCTCAAGATCCCTTACCCAATAGCAATCCTCCCCAAACAGACCCAGGAATCTGGAAGACGACTTTCCTTTTGGGGAGGCCTTGGGAAGGAGGGTACCTGTGTGGAGGCTCGGTGCCGTTTTTAGAAAGGAAGCCACCCGTTAAAAGTGAATCACTTTTTGGGGGGCTTAGTGGCAAAAATATTTATTTCAACCAAAAAGTTATAAAAGTCTCAAGATCCAAGCCAATAGCAATCCTTACCTCCCCAAACAGACCTGTAAGGATCCAGGATGTTTCTGAACCCGGTGTCCCATTTTAGAGAACAGCCATAGGTTGGGACCCGGGGTTCCAACCCAATAGCAGTCAAGTGTCGATGCCCTTCTCCGGATTGGCCCCGGCTCGTAGCAAACCATCCGCGGTCTTCCACGCCGAGAGCTCGATGGCGGCGCTCAGCGCCGAGCGCCCGGCGGGGTCCACCGCCGTAGCCTCGGTGGCTTTCTACTCCCCTACTAAAAGTGAATATAACTATGAGTGGTTTGATGGACAACCCATTGGTGGGCAAAAAGTTAGTTAACTTTTAGTGGTAAAAATTCGAAAAATACAGAAAACCCATTGGTTGGCAAAAAAGTTAAAGTCCGAACATCCCTTGGCAAAATGCCACAAAGTAGCCGTGGCCCTGGCCGCCAGCAGCTCCGAGGTCGCGAAGCTCTGGCGCTTCTCCACGGCCACCAGCAGGGGAGGCCGGCCCCTCTCGTCCAGGCCCTGGTTCGGAGACGCGCGCAGCTTCAGCAGCTGCCTAGATAGCATGCGATCGCATTTTTTCAGTCACTGTTGCTGGTTTGGAGAAAAAACATTTGTTCAGTCACTGTGCCTGGTTTGGGGGGTAAAGTGCATGGGGAAAAAAACCAACAGCATTTGTTCAGTCACTGTTGCTGGTTTCGGGGGGGTAAAGTGCATGGAAACAAAACAGCATTGTTTCAGTCACTGTTGCTGGTTTGGGGGGTAAAGTGCATGGGGAGAAAACCAACAGCATTTTTGCAGGCACAGTTGCTGGTTTGGGGGGGTAAAGTGCATGGGGAAAAAACAACCGCACTTTTTCAGGCACTGTTGCTGGTTTGGGGGGTAAAGTGCATGCGGAAAAGAAAGGCATTTTTTCAGGCACTGTTACTGTTGCTGGTTTGGGGGGGGTAAAGTGCATGGGAAAAAAACAGGGTCGAGTGCATGGGGAAAAAGCAACAGCATTTTTTCAGGCACTGTTGCTGGTTTGGGGGGTAAAGTGCATGGAAAAAACATCCTTTTTTCATTGTTTGGGGGGTAAAGTGCGAGGAAAAACAGTCACTGTTGCTGGTTTGGGGGGGTAAAGTGCATGGGGAAAACAACAACAGCATTTTGTCAGGCACTGTTGCTGGTTTGGGGGGTAAAGTGCATGGGGAAAAAAACAACAGCACTTTTTCAGGCACTGTTGCTGGTTTGGGCGGTAAAGTGCATGGGGAAAAAAACAGGGTAAAGTGCATGGGAAAAAACCAGCATTTTTCCAGTCACTGTTGCTGGTTTAGGGGGGTAAAGTGCATGGAAAAACAACAGCATTTTTTCAGTCGCTATTACTGGTTTGAGGAATAAAATACATGGGGAAACAAAACAGCAATTTTTCAGTCACTGTTGCTGGTTTTTGGGGGTAAAGTGCATGGGAACAAAAACCAGCATTTTTTCAGGCACTGTTGCTGGTTTGGGGGGTAAAGTGCATGGAAAAAACAGCATTGTTTCAGTCACTGTTGCTGGTTTGGGGGGTAAAGTGCATGGGGAAAAAACCAACAGCATTTTGTCAGGCACTGTTGCTGGTTTGGGGGGTAAAGTGCATGGGGAAAAAAAGCATTGTTTCAGGCACTGTTGCTGGTTTGGGGGGTAAAGTGCATGGGAAAAACACCATTTTTTCAGTCAGTGTTGCTGGTTTTGGGGGGTAGAGTGCATGGAAAAAACATCATTTTTTCAGTCACTGTTGCTGGTTTGGGGGGCAAAGTGCGAGGAAAAAACAGCATTGTTTCAGTCACTGTTGCTGGTTTGGGGGGTAAAGTGCATGGGGAAAACAACAACAGCATTTTTTCAGGCACTGTTGCTGGTTTGGGGGGTAAAGTGCATGCGGAAAAGAAAGGCATTTTTTCAGGCGCTGTTGCCCGGTTTGGCGGGTAAAGTGCATGGGGAAAAAGCAACAGAGGCACTGTTGCTGGTTTGGGGGGTAAAGTGCATGGGAACAAAAACCAGCGTTTGTTCAGTCACTGTTGCTGGTTTGGGGTGTAAAGTGCGTGGGAAAAACATTGTTTCAGTCACTGTTGCTGGTTTGGGGGGTAACGTGCATGGGGAAAACAACAACAGCATTTTTGCAGGCACTGTTGCTGGTTTGGGGGTAAAGTGCATGGAAAAACAAGGCAGGCGGCTGTTGGGCCGCCCACCAACTGTTGTCGGTTTTCAAAACCACCCGTTCCGGACCTGGCGCCGAAACCCTGCGTTTTTGACGATTTTTATCCCCGAACCATGAGAAGGGAACCTCACGATCTACTGCGTGGGCCAACACAAAATTCCAAAACGAGTGTTTCGCCTTGACGCCAGGCATATTTTTTTCGAGGCTCCGAAAAAAAGAGTTACAAAACCTTATGAGCAAGAGCCTTGATCTAAAACAGTACGAGCCGCGCAGTCTTCGCTCTGAACACAGAACACAGAGTGCGCACAGAACACAGACCGCGCGCGTGGGGGAGCTTGCTAACATGTTGGCAAATGTGCGTAACATGTTGGCAAATGTGCACACAGAACACAGGTGTGCGCGTGGGCGAGCTTGCTAAAATGTTGGCAAATGTGCGCACAGAACACAGAGCACGCGCGTGGGCGAGCTTGCTACCATGTTGTCAAATGTGCACAGAGAACGCAGAGCGCGCGCGTGGGCGAGCTTGCTAACATGTTGGCAAATGTGTGGACAGAACACAGACGAGCTTGGTTGGCTGCACACAGTAGACGAGCTTGCTAACGTTGGCAAATGTCGCGAGCTTGCTAACATGTTGCAAATGTGCGCACAGAACACAGAGATGGGCGAGCTTGCTAACATGTTGGCAAATGTGCACACAGAACACAGATGCGCAAATGTGGCGAGCTTGCTAACATGTTGGCAAATGTGCACACAGAACACAGAGCGCGAGCTTTAACATGTGGGCGAGCTTGCTCACATGTTGGCAAATGTGCACACAGAACACAGAGCGCGCGCGTGGGCGAGCTTGCTAACATGTTGGCAAATGTGCACACAGAACACAGAGCGAGCGCGTGATCAAGCTTGCTAACATGTTGGCAAATGTGCGCACAGAACACAGAGTGCGCGCGTGGGCGAGCTTGCTAACATGTTGGCAAATGTACGCACAGAACACAGAGTGCGCGCGTGGGCGAGCTTGCTAATATGTTGTCCAATGTGCACAGAGAACACAGGGCGCGCGCGTGGGCGAGCTTGCTAACATGTTGGCAAATGTGTGCACAGCGCGCGTGGGCGAGCTTGCTAACATGTTGGCAAATGTGCACACAGAACACAGAGTGCGCGCGTGGGCGAGCTTGCTAACATGTTCGCAAATGTGCGCACAAAACACAGAGTGGGCGAACTTGCTAACATGTTGGCAAATGTGCACACAGAACACAGAGAGCGGGCGAGCTTGCTAACATGTTGGCAAATGTGCGCACAGAACACAAAGCGCGCGCGTGGGCGAGCTTGCTAACATGTTGGCAAATGTGCACACAGAACACAGAGTGCGCGCGTGGGGGAGCTTGCTACATGTTGGCAAATGTGTTGGGCGAGCTTGCAAATGTGCAAATGTGCACAGAACACAGAGCGCAGCGCGTGGGCGAGCTTGCTAACATGTTGGCAAATGTGCGCACAGAACACAGAGTGCGCGTGGGCGAGCTTGCTAACATGTTGGCAAATGTGCACACGGAACACAGAGTGCGCGCGGTGCGCGCTAACATGTTCAATGTGCACACAGAACACAGAGTGCGCGCGAGCTTGCTAACATGTTGGCAAATGTGCACACAGAACACAGAGCTTGCTAACATGTCGGCAAATGTGTACACAGAACACAGAGCGCGCGCGTGGGCGAGCTTGCTAACATGTTGGCAAATGTGTGCACAGAACACAGAGTGCGCGCGTGGGCGGCGAGCAAATGTGCACACAGAACACAGAGAGCGGGCGAGCTTGCTAACATGTTGGCAAATGTGCACACAGAACACAGAGTGCGCGCGTGGGCGAGCTTGCTAACATGTTGGCAAATGTGCACACAGACACAGAGTGCGCGCGTGTGCGAGCTTGCTAACATGTTGGCAGACGTGCGCACAGAACACAGAGCGCGCGCCTGGGCGATCTTGCTAACATGTTGGCACATGTACGCACAGAACACAGAGCGCGCGCGTGGGCGAGCTTGCTAACATGTTGGCAAATGTGCGCACAGAACACAGAGCGCGCGCGTGGGCGAGCTTGCTAACATGTTGGCAAATGTGCGCACAGAACACAGAGTGCGCGCGTGGGCGAGCTTGCTAACATGTTGGCAAATGTGCACACAGAACACAGAGTGCGCGCGTGGGCGAGCTTGCTAACATGTTGGCAAATGTGCACACAGAGCACAACTTTGACCCAAATGCGAGAGCTGCTTTACTGCGAAACATGGCAGGCGTGGGAGATGGCACAGACCGACACGACATATTCTACGCGCCCTGTTGGGGGCGGCTCAACAGCCGCCTGCCAAAAGCAACAGCATTTTTCTGTCGCTGTTGCTGGTTTGGGGGGTAAAGTGCATGGGGAAAAAACAGCATTGTTTCAGTCACAGTTGCTGGTTTTCTGGGTAAAGTGCATGGGAACAAAAACCAGCATTTGTTCAGTCACTGTTGCTGGTTTGCGGGGTAAAGTGCATGGGGAGAAAACCAACAGCATTTTTTCAGGCACTGTTGCTGGTTGGGGGGGTAAAGTGCATGGCAAAAGAAACAGCATCTTTTCAGTCACTGTTGCTGGTTTGGGGGGTAAAGTGCATGGGAACAAAAACCAGCATATGTTGAGTCACTGTTGCTGGTTTGGGGGGGGAAAGTGCATGGAAAAAAACACAACATTTTTTCCGTCACTGTTGCTGGTTTGGCGGGTAAAGTGCATGGACAAAACAGCACTTTTTCAGTCTCTGTTGCTGGTTTGGGGGGTAAAGTGCATGGAAAAAAAAAACAGCATTTGTTCAGTCACTATTGCTGGTTTGGGGGTGTAAAGTGCATGCGAAAAAACCAGCATTTTTTCAGTCACTGTTGCTGGTTTGGGGGGGTAAAGTGCATGGGGGAAAAAAACACAGCATTTTTTCAGTTACTGTGTCTGGTTTGGGGGGTAAAGTGGCAGTCACTGTTGCTGGTTTCGGGGGTAAAGTGCATGAAAAAAAAAGCTTTCTTTCAGTCACTATTGCTGGTTTGGGGGGGTAAAGTGCATGGGAAAAAAACAAAACAGCATTTGTTCAGTCACTGTTGCTGGTTTGGGGGGTAAAGTGCATGGAAAAAAACTCATTTTTTCAGTCACTGTTGCTGGTTTTGGGGGGAACGTGCATGGACAAAAAAAAACGCAACTGGCGATCCAGGTGCGACAGCACTGTGGCGGAGGACAGGGCCAAGGCGTCCAGCACCAGGGATCCGCCCTTCACCGATGGAGCGTCAGCCACGCGGGCGCCGCAGCGCACCAGCTCCGCGATCAGCTCACTGGGCGTCACGCCGGAGCGCACGGCGTAGCGCAGGGGCGCGTTGCCCCGGCCGTCCCGCTCGTTGGCATTCGCGGAGTGGAACAGCAAGAGCTTCACCACCTCCAAGGTCGTTGCGCTGGAGCTCTGCAACGCCATGCACAGGCTCGTGGCGTTGCGGCCATCCTTCAAGTTCGGATCGCTGCGAGCCTCCAGGAGCCGGGTAATCGAGGTCTTGAACGCCTTGGCACAAACGTTCACCAGTGGAGCATTCAACTCAGGCTGGGGGCCGAGATCTTCCACATTGCCCCCCGCGTCTCTGCATCTCTTGATCTCCTCCTGTGCAGTTGCAGAGTCCTTGAAGGTCTTCTGCGCTACGTCCTGGACCAAACTGATCCGGCCCCCTGCAAAAGGGTGTCACGCTTTTCTAAAAGGGAACATGCTGCGGCAGAAAGTGAAAGGAATGCTAAGGCTGGCAATGTGTGGAGGTTGCCTTGGGAAACCAACGGTCAAGTACCAACAAGTCATAAGCTCAGTCGGGCATCCTTGTTGAGAGGCAACAGCATGTCCAAGAATGCCAGGTGCTCATTCTCCGAGTGGCTGCGAAGCCATGTGCGGGTGCAAACTGCGTGGACGGGGACCTGGCCCTCCACGTCCAGCTTGCCTGCGGAGATCCATGGAAAAAACCGAAAGCTACCCCCTGAAAGCTACGGGTTGCAGGGGCGCGGGGGCAAAAGGGCGAGTGCATTTTTTGCCTCGAAACGTCCCCAGAAATTAGAACTCGACCATGACAAACATGCTCGTAGATGGGGCTGCTTGCTGGCAGTCTAGGAATTTGACGGAGAAGCCCCGAAACGCAAGGTTTTTGTGGTTTATGATTTTGACGAAAAAGAAAGTCAGGAACAGCGGAATTCTGGGCTGTCCTCACATCCCCTTCTAAAGTTTAACTTTTAGTCTTCTTTTGGACGGGGACCCCCCCCTAAAACCAAAAAAGAAAGTCAGGAACAGCGGAATTCTGGGCTGTCCTCACATCCCCTTCTAAAGTTTAACTTTTAGTCTTTTTTTGGACGGGGCCCCCCCCCTAAAACCAAAAAAGAAAGTCAGGAACAGCGGAATTCTGGGCTGTCCTCACATCCCCTTCTAAAGTTCAACTTTTAGTTGGCTAAATAGAAAATTCAACCACTAAACTGGCCACAAAGCTGAAAACCTAAGGAAACGGATGGCTGGGACCAACAGAAGCCACTAGTTGCCCATCGGGTTGCTCACGACTTGGCCGTTCTTCTGGACCAGCCAGCGGCACAACTCCCGGTGCGCGTTGGCGCAGGCGTCGTGCAGCGCCAAGCGTTGATTCACATCCTGGGAGCACTTGGAACCCATGGGCATGTTTTTTGTGGAGGCTACCCTTCCTTCCACTAACATGGCACCTCTGGGAGGGTACTTGGAAGATTGGTTTCTTCAAGGGACCCCATGTCTGGTGCTATGTTAGTTGGAGGGGGGGGAATTTTCCTTGTGGTGGTCTTAACGTGTCTTTTGGAGGGTCCCCCGTTTTGGGTATAACATGTTTTTACGGCGTCTTGTTTCGAGGGTACCCCAGTTTTTGTTTTTGCTTCAAGTCTCTTTCTTCAAGGCTACCTCCGTTTTGGTGCTGTCAAAGGACACCAAAAGGAAACCCACTTAGGGCGATTTTAAGATGGGGGCCGCTTTGGGACATCATTTGCGCATGTGTATGTCCAACCATTTTTGAGGGGATCCCCTTTAAGATTAGAGCCATTTTGTGCGTGTGTCTTTGAAGTGTGTGAACCTTTGAGGGTGCCCTGTTGGGTTGGCTGAAAGGGACAGCCAAAGGAGAACGACCATTTTTGGGTCCCGTCCCCAAGTTTGACACATGCTACATATCCAAAAACATGTCCAAGCATGCGCTTCTTAAATTGACACATACCCAACTCAACATGAAGCTGAGAAGGGTAGCCTCCAAAAACCAGACACCACCCATATTACGGGAATTGGGCGTGCCCTGCCGAGGGTACGCCTTCTTCGGGGTTTTACAGGCAAATCCAAAGTGGAAAGCCAACCGTTTGGGGAATCCAATTGCTTTCTAAATTGGGGGGGGGGGGGGGGGCGTTTAAACCCACCTAAATTGTAGCAACATGAGCCAACTAAATAAGGCAGCCCCAACGGAGTACAACAGTATTTCCAGCCACACATCAGCAGCATACCCATCGAAAAACAGCGCGCTATACTTTCTAGCGAACAGTGATCATTCGCATCGGGCAAGCGCGCTGCAAACAAATATATAGAAGCGTCTTTTCCGGCAACAAAGCAGCAGCTGCACAGCATGCCAAAGGCACGTCCCTGAAAACCATAACGCGCGTTGCGCAGAGCAAGCAAGGGCGAAGGAGCATGAGGCAACTCTACCAACAACAGCATCCTCCAGCATACAATTCTACCGCCAAAATATACACCAGCATTATTCCCGAAACAATGCGGCAGCATACCGCACAAGTCTTCACCTGAAACTGAAAACGCTATATTTCACATAGAACAACCAGGGAAGAATGAACATCGGGCACTTCCACGAGCATCATGCAACTGAACTCAAAGTGCACGCCAGTGTTGTGGGGCAACCGAGCAGCAGCATACCGCGCAAGCCTCCGTCTAACACATAGCGCTGTGTTTTCTCAACCCTGCAACAGCCTGCAGCAACCCGCAGTGCCTGAATCGTTCCCCTAGCTTTCACACCATCTGCAACAGGGATCCTTACATTACACACCTGAACATTGCAACTTGTCAATGGTGGCTTCCCCTTCTTTTGGTGGAAAAAGCCATGGTTGCAAAATGGAGATCTTTTTTTGGAGCCATCTGTGCAAGGTGGCAAGTTAGGCAAATTCGCCAAATCTCCGCCTTTGTCTATTGGGCCCTGTGCTTCGAAGTGCTGTTGCGGGGTTGCAGCACCCTGCGGGCATAAGCACCCTGCGACAGCACCCTGCGCATACAGTACGCGCAACTCCCTGCAACAGCACACGCAAGAATTCTGAGTCACACCCGCCTGCTTTGCTTGAAGTTAGAACCCCCAGAAGCTTTCTTCAGCCATCTTTCGTACAAAAAAACAAAAAAACACGGGGGCACCCGGAAAACAAAGAAATAACCACGCCGGAGCCACCTCCACGTTTTTGTTTTTTTTTTCTTTCTCCGTCGGTGCCTGTGTGGTGGGCGCCACCCCCCGGTTCAGCAGCTCGTCCGCGATGGCCGTGGCCTCCGGGCCCAGCTTCTTCTTGAAGCCCGCCAGGGCGTGCAGCAGGCTGCGGTTCTGGGAGTCCAGGCGCTGCACCATGTGGTTCTCCGAGGGGTTGATCCTTGCGCCCAGGAAAAGAGCCAAAGACAACGCCAAAGAAAAAGGGGAGGGGAAAAAAAACAGCCGAGGGCGAGAGGGGGGCGACCAAGAAGATGGCAAGGAGCACCGCAACATGGGAGGTGAGAGGCCACCTGACATGCTGATCCGACCTTGGGGAGATAGTCGGTGAAAAAGGCAACACACAGAGCCCTGAACAGCGGATCTGATGAATCAAAGAGCGGACCCTGCAAAAGCGGAAGCCAAAACGAAAAAGGGCAACATAAACACCCTGACAAGCACAAAGTCCACGTTTTTTGCTAGTTGCCAGGTGATCCACTTGCTGCTGGGAGACCTTCATGCTTCAAAACAAGACTCAAAGATTAGGCGAAAAGTGGATCCATCCCCCCTGCAAAACCTGGAGTCAACTTTTGACTGCTAGCTTAGCCAGTTGAAACTGTCATGTTCCCTGCCAAAAAAGAACACACAAAACAAGAACACGCAAGAAACGAAAAAGGCTCTGCGGGGACAAAACAACAACAACACCGAGGTTCTCGGCCTCCTGTCTTTCAACCGAACACATCGAGGGCCCAAAACAGTTCGAGCCCAGCAGAAAAAATCGTTCGACCCGAGCCTCCATTTGCCTAAGTCGCCCTGGAAAAAAACAAGTTCCAGTGGTGAAATTTAAAACCAACAGGGGCCAATACACCATATGTCCAGTAGTGATAGATTTCCTTTGAAACCAGCATGGGGAAAATAAAAAAATATATATATCGTTTTTCGCCCAATGGGAGGCGAGGATCTTGGAGAGCAGCGTGAGCACCAGGCGGAACTCCCCGAGCTCCAGGGCATCCTGAATCGCCCCGTGCAAGGGGTACCCGTGATCCAGCAGGAGATACCTTCGCCGGCGAGAAACCTGGGGAACATGGGTATCTTTAGAACCAACAAGGGAACATAAAAAAAAAAAAAAAAAAAAAAAAAAAAAAAACAGGAAAAAAAAACCTTAAGCAAATGGAAGTGCTCAACGCGCAAGCATAGGTGTCCTTTTAGGGGAATAGCACCTATGGTTGGGAGATTGGCTTCTGTCGGAAATCGAAAGTCGCTCAGCGAAACTTTTGGGTGATTTGTGTTTTGCCCAGAAATCAGAGTCGATCAGTGAAACTCTTGGGCGGGAGATTTGTTTGGTCAAGAAATCCAGGGCTAAACCCAAACACATCTAAATAGGTTAGGTGTTTAGACATAGAATAATACATCCAACTTTAAACTCCACAGAAAAAAAGAAAGAACAAAAAAACACAGGGTGTGAAGCGAGGTGCGAGAGCCCCAGCCACTGCCGCGACGTGGACTCGCGGAACAGGGACAGGGGAGGACCAGGCTGGACCTTCTGCCGTTTGCGCGCCCCGGTGCCGTCATCCACTTTCTGCAAGTGACCTGAGGTTCGCCCCAAAATGGGCAAAATACGAGGCACGAGACGGCAGGAGACGGGGGACCTCAAACGGCTAGGGAAATATCACCCACACCCTTCAAGCCAACACCCACCAGGTCTGTTGGAGGTGTGCATGTAGGGCAGTGGTGCTTTTCCCACACCTAAGGCTCAAGCGCATGGGCGCCGACACGTCACCGGCCTCCTGGCTCAGCAAGGTGATGGCATACCTCAAGACAATCAGAGTTGGCTGAAGATAGGCGACTCTTCAACCTTCACCTTCAGACTTCCATAGCAACAACACGCACTCGCGGAGGTCCCATTCCACTTTCGGAGGGACCCAAACCCTCCGAACGGCCTACCTGATTCAAAAAAAGTGTCTTCAACCCTTCAACCCTTCAACCCTTCAACCCTTCAACCCTTCCACCGGGTAGCTCTTCCATTTGGAGAGAGCTGCAATGGACCAAACTTCCATCTTCTTCCCCGACTGAAAGCTTTAGGGGCTCCAGGTCTCTGTGGGCCGGATGCGGCATGATATCACCTCAGCATATTTTGGAGTTCGTACCCCAGTGTTTGGTGGTTTTAAAGGACTACCGCAGGAAAACCGCCCGGTTTTTTTGGGGTGTCCAACCCAACAAAAAGACTTCTCGAATTTTAGCAAAGGCACTGATTGTGGCCTCCTGCCAGAGCTACCCCCAGCGCGTCGTTGCCCGCCTTGCGGGGTACTCCAAAAGAGAACTAAGTCAGATCACGTATGCACATATATATATATATATATACACATATTATATTCGTTCGGGCATGTGTCAAAGAGGGACCCCGAGAATGGTGGTTTTCCAGTTGGTTCCCTTTGAACCAACCTTTAAACGGGTACCCTCACACACTTTTGTACATAGAGGGGCGCACGCACACGCACACACATCCATTGGCAAAGCCTTCAACACCAAGAATCTACAAGTGGCCAAAGCTTTGGCATGGGGGTGCGAGAAATCAGGACCACCAAATGAAATGACTTTTTGCCCGGATAATATCATATAATATCCAAAAGGGCACCTATGGGTTTGCAAACGTTTTGAAGGGGCTCCCTATGGTCATCTTACTGATCACCTTGCCACTGGTGAGTTGGATTTGTCAGGAGCCACTTCATGAGATCTCATAGAAGCCCGAACCACCATCAAAACACTACTCTTTGGACTGATACCACGTTGGCCTCTGGACCTGCTCCGACTTGATGCACAGTCACCAACCCATGCCCACGTCAAAGCTAAAATCCAGTTCCACTCAAGAACTCAATTCCGCTTGCCCTGAAACGTCAAAGGGTGTCTCTCAAGAATCGGGTGGGGCCAAGAAAAGACCCGAGATCAGGATCCGTACTTGGCGGCTGGGATTCGTGGAGTTTGAACCCCTGGCTGGGGCTTCACACCTCCAACCCACTTGGGTGCGAACAAAAAAGCGATCAAGAAAGCAAGAAAGGAGGAGCCGCGAGCCCCTCCAGTTTGGGGGAACCCCCTGGAAAAATGTATATATATATATATACATATATGTATAAATATACATATATAGACCTAGAAAACCCGGAGTGGAGAATTTCCGCTTTTCGCCGTAACTACATAAATTTTAGTTGTGTCCATCAAAAAAACACCGTTTTCTTCAAAAAGCGCCTTGGGGACAATGGGTTCGGCAAAAAACGCCTTTGTATCGCCAAAAAACGCTTTTGTATCGGGGGAAAAAACGCCTCAGCCAGTTTGCATGATGACCTTCCCTGAAAAAGCAGTTTCCCACGAAAAGGCAGAAACAATCGGACTCAGGAAGATCCAGGTATATATATATATATATTGTTTTAACATAATAATAATAACATTAAGACTAATAATAATACTAATAATAATAATAATAATAATAATACTAATAATAATAATAATAATAATAATAGTAATAATCATAATAATAATAATAATAATAATAATAATAATAATAATAATAATAATAATAATAATAATAACAACAATAATAATAATAATAATAATAATACTAATACTAATAATAATAATCATAATAATAATAAAAGCAATAACAATAATACTACTACTACTACTACTACTACTAATAATAATAATAATAATAATAATAATAATAATAATAATAATAATAATAATAATAATAATAATAATAATAATAATATAGTATTATTATTTAAAAAGAACAACCTTATTTTTTAATCGAACGACACATAGCGCTCATCGACGCCCTACGCCCGTCGATCGCCCTAAGCTCTAAGCTCTAAGCCCCGCCTGGTCGCGCGCCTTCAGGCAGGCCCCGCGCTTCGACAAATACAGCGAGGAGATGGTGGCGCCGCGCCGGGCCGCGCAGAGCAGCGGCGTGGCGCCGAACTCGTCCGCCACGTCCACCTGGCCGAGGGCCACGGGAAACGGGGCCGGGGGCCGGGGGGGGGACGAGGCATGGGGCGGCGAGTGGGCGCCCAGCATTTTTTTTTGGGGGGGGGGCAAGTGGGCGCCGCGTTTGGCTGAAAATTCCAGAACCCATGCATTTTTGAGGGCCCCCCCTATGCCAGAAGGAAAACCCACCCAGCTGGAGGGTCCGCTGGCACCCCCAACTGTCCCCCCCCCCTCAAGCGTCCCCCTTTCCCAGGCCCCCCCAGCTGTGGCCTGAATTCCCTCCACCGCACAGAGGCTCGTGACCGTCTCCACGGGGTCCGCGGGCGAGGCGTCCAGCTGCTTCTCCTCACCGGAAAAAAAAAGGAGAAAAAAAAAGAGGAAAGCAGGAGAAGCTTTTTGGCCTGAATGACCCCTTTCTGTGGTTGGTTACAAGGGTCAGCAAAAGTTGGAAATCACCCATTTTGGGTCCATTAGCCCCTATTTTGACACCCAAATGATGATACCTGCCCTTCCTCCCACTAACAGAAGGCGTCTGGAGGCTGCGGGAGGGTAATCGGATGATGATGTTCCTCTTTAGCGAACCCTCTGCAAAGTGCCATGATAGAGTGAGGCTAAGTACCAACAAGAAAGCTTACCAGCTGAATACAACAGCCGCATTCACGGGAAACCTCCCCTGTTCTTGACTTATATTCTTATGGGCAAACCTAGGCAAACACTGCAAGCATCAGGTCAATTCAAGGTACACGAAAAGTACACCATGAGGTACAAACCAAAGATACACCCAGAGAAACATCCCGGAATCCAAACAAAATAAACACACCTTGTTGTACAACTACAAGCTTCCCAGCAAACCGACTTCGACCCCGCAACGCATGCCGGGAGAGAGTCCAACATAGAGACAGCACACACACACACATCCATACGGTAATACGCGCACGCATATGTGACATACTGCTTTGGGCTTTTGTGACAAGTACTAAGTTTTAGGTCACAACCTTTCCCAGTACTAGCGCTCGGTCACTGGAGTTTGAGGCCAACATTTCGTTTGTTTCCACTGCATGTTGACATTTGGGCTCCTCAACCACATGTTTTTGGCTACTTCGGCCCCTGGCCTTTGTATCAAGTTCGAAATTGGAGGCTGGCGGGGTCGAAGCCGGTTTGCTCGGAAGCCCGTAGTTGTGCAACAGGGTGTGTTTATTTGGCCATGGGTCAAAATCCAAATCGTACCTCTAGTGAACATCCCAATCCCCACTATTCTAGACATGTTGGGTGGTGCACCTATTGGTACCAGTGGTTTTGACCCGCACCTTTTGTACCTTTGAATTCCGGGATGTTTCTCTGGGTGTATTGTTGGCTTTTGCATCTCATGATGTACCTTTTATGTAATTGTTTTTGGTCGGACATTCATAGAACTGATTGCTCATCTTTGTTTTATCCTTTTGTACATGGGCATCAACAAATATTGTTTAGGGACTCGAACTGGTGGACCTCAAACTTCGGTGCGTCCAAACTGGTCAAGCTGAGGCTACTGGAGCCGAGGTCCTTCTTGACGAAGGCATAATGCAGCGCCATGCGGCCCTGGACGTCGCGCGCGTTCACGTCGGCCCTGGGTGTCATGAAGTCGTAGGATTTTTCTGTGACTATGTCCTCAACAAGGTTGTGGGAAGTTGTTTGGTGCTGCGACATCTGTTTGGCAAAACTGAATGAGTTAGCGGGGGTTCCCTTGGCATTGTAAAATGAAGTTTGCCAAAACTTCATGGGGAACTTCCTGTGTAACATGTTTGTCAAAACTGAATGACTTAAGGGGATTGCCCTTGGTATTGCTGAAATCATGTTTGCGAAACAGGACATTCCCTTGGTACGGAACACCCGATTTGGTGAGAAAACCAAGACATTCCCCAAAGCTTAGCTTTCGCGATTCCTCCGCATTCCGTTTGGCTGTGGCTCAAAAAACCGGTACCATGGAACCCTGGTAAGTGGAAACATGGACCAAAACCTGCGGTTTGCCCCTCCTCTTTAATGTTGAGCCACACCCATTTCTTTGCAGAATACGATCCCGACCACCGATCCACACCGAGTCACCCGAAGCTTCCCTCCAAGTGGTGAGCCCGGTGGTTCGGGGCTTTCCCATTTACCCCCTACCAGGGACCGCTTCAAAACCAAATCCAAACCTCCGCTAGCCATCAACTCATCCTGACCGAGCCCGCCCACCCCAAACCAAAACGAATTCCCCAAGCCTCATGGTATGAACTTTAAAAAAAGAAAAATATATTAAACAAAATAATAATAATAATAATAATAATAATAATAATAATAATAATAATAATAATACTAATAAAAGGTAGTTCATTCAGTTGCCAAATTCCCCAACACCTACCGAGAACCAGGTTCAAATCCAAACCCCAAAAAACCGGGCTCCAAACCACCAACTGAGAGTTACCTGACCTACCTTGCCCTTAACCCACCGAAACTAAACCGGAGCAACACAAAAAACGTATCGAAATGTATCGAAATGTATCGAAATGTATCGAATTGCCAACTTCCCCAACACCTACCAAACAAATAAAGAACAAGAACAACACAAATTGTCAGTTGCCAAATACCCCAAAGCCGGGGTAGAATCGAAAACAAAATGGCCCTGGGTCAAAAGCCAGATCGTACCCCCAGTGAACATCAACCAATCCAACCACTAAAATAGGTTCTAAAAGTTGGGTGGTGAATTCACCAATCCCAACCAACATGGGATCAACCACGGTTTTGACCACGGCCTTGCGGATTTTTCTCCCAGGGGCTTGGCGTTCAGCAGCAGCCGCTCCGCGTCGAAGGAGGGCTCGCTGGCCGTGGCGGAGTTCACTGCGAAGTGCAGCGCCGTGCGGCGCTTGGGGTCCAACGTGGTGGGGGACGCGCGCCGCTCCTGGCGGTTTTTTTTTCGGCCCGCGGTGGAGAGGTGGCTGTGGGGCAAAAAAAAATAAATCGGGCCACCCCCAAAATAGAAGCCCAAGAGTAAGTGGCAACAGGGACCAAATCTGCAGTCCCCTGATGGGTTAATTTTGACCCATACCCAGGTAATCCAGAGGATAAACAAGTGGCAACATACCCAGGTCCATAGTTTTGTTGGATGATAAACATGAGGTTTCCACAGGTCAACCATGTGGTGAATGAACTTTGAATGGGATGACCCCAACTTCAAACCAATGGCAACCGTGGTTGACCCGGAGAAATGGGCGAACGCCGGGCCGAGAGGTCTCGTTCCGAGGGGAAATCCGGGCTTAAGTGGAAAAAATGGGCGAAACACCGGGTGAAAAGGTTTGTTTCGAGAGAAAAAAACGGCGGAACAAATGGGTGTTCAATTTGCCGGAGTGATCAGTTTCTAGGTGGGGAAAATTCCGGGGAGAGGTTCGGTTCCTTAAGTGGGAAACATGGGCGAAAAACCGGGTCAAGAGGTTTTTGCTTCCTAAGACAATCCGTGGACCAAGTTGGTCATCAAGTTCCGAGACCGGTGCAAGTTGGTTGGCCGTGTGGAGGTTGCCCAGTTTGCGGCTTTGACAAGCAGAAGTGATTCTTTTGGAAAACTGGAAAACGTCTAGGGTTTGATTCTTTTCAACCATCATTTCAAAACCGGCCGTTTTATTTGGGCTTCTTGTGGGTTTTTAGAAAGAATGATTTTTGGAAAGAATGGGAAGGGTACCCCTAGAAAAAGGAGTGTGTGTGAGAGTGTTTCTGAGGGCGCCCAAATTTGTGGCTGGCTTTGGTAAAAGGAAACGCGCATACCCAATCAATTGAGAAGAGATGGCCAATTTGCCCCATTCACGCCGCTTTCCTTGTCGCTGCTCGAAAGATCAAGCCATTCAAACCATTATTCTTGCTCGGGGGCCCGGACATTTTCCTGGTTTCCCTAAGCCCAAAAAAACACTGGGTCTCCTCACCACAGCCGTGTTCAAGATGCTTCCAACTCTGTTCGGAGCCCGAAGGTTTGGAGGCGTGCTTCCCATTTACCCAGAACCAGGGCCCGTTCAAAAAGGGGAAACTGAAACGACCAACCAGTTGATCAACTCAATCGAACAAACAAACGAACAAACAACCAACCAACCAAACAAACAAACAAACAAACAACAAACCAAGCAACCAACCAACCCAGAAAAAATGTCGGAGGCTTCTTTCAGCTGTCCAGCAGCTGCTGGATGACCTGGAGGTGCCTTGCCGCAGCCGCGATGTGCAAGGCCGTAGTGCCTGAAAATTTGGGGGGCCAAACAAATTTGAGAACCCACACACACACACACCCACGAACGTACGCACGCACACAAGCGCACAAACACCGAAACACACACACACACACAAGCACACGCACGCACAAACACACATACACACACACACAAACACACAAACACCCAATCACACACACAAGCACACACACAAACACCCAATCACACACACAAGCACACACACAAGCACACACACACACAAACAAGCACACAAACAAGCACACAAACACCAGCAAGCACACAAACAAGTATACAAACACCAGCAAGCACACACACAAGCAAACAAACACCCAAACACACACACACACACAAGCGCACACACACACACACAAGCACCCAAACACGCAAACACACAAACACCCAAAACACACACAGAGAGAGAGAGAGAGACAGAGAGACAGAGAGACAGAGAGACAGAGACACACAGACACACAGACACACAGACACACAGACACAGGAACAAGCACAGACACAGAAACAGACAGACACAGACAGAGACAGAGACAGAGACAGAGACAGAGACAGAGACAGAGACACAGACACAGACAGACACAGACACAGACACAGACACACACAGACAGACACAGACACACACAGACACACACACAGACACACACAGACACACACACAGACACAGACACAGACACACACACACACAGACAGGCACAGAGACACACAGAGACACACAGACCAACACAGACACACAGAGAGACACACAAAGACACACAGAGACACACAGAGACACACACAGAGACACACACAGAGACGCACAGAGACAAACACAGAGACAGACACAGAGACGAACACAGAGACAGACGACACACACACACACAGAGACACACACAGAGACACACACAGCGACACACACAGACACACACACAGAGCGCACAGAGAGACACTCAAAGACATGCAGAGACATGCAGAGACATGCAGAGACACGCGGAGACACGCACGCAGAGACACGCAGAGACACGCAGAGACACACAGACACACACACACAGACACACACACACACAGACACAGGCACACACACACAGACACACACACACACAGACGCACACACAAGCACACACACACACAGGCACACACACAAGCACACACACAAACACAAAAACTCCCAATCACACACACACACAAGCACACGCACAAGCACACACACACACACACAACAAACACACAAACACCAGCACACACACAAGCACACAAACACCCACACGCACACGCACACGCACACGCACACACAGGCACACACACACACACACGCACGCACGCACGCACGCACGCACGCACGCACACACACACACACACAAACAAGCACACAAGCACACAAGCACCCAAACACACACAAGCACACACAGACACACACACAAGCACACACACACACACACAGACGCACACAGAAGCACACAGACGCACACACACACATATACACAGAAGCACACACACAAGCACACACACACACAAGCACACCCACCCACCCACCCACCCACGAACGCACGCACGCACGCACGCACCCACCCACCCACCCACGCGCGCGCGCGCACACCCCCACACCCCCACACACACACACACACGCACGCACACACACACACACACCCACACACCCACACACACACACACAGCCTACACACACACACACCCAAACGCACACCCACACAACCACACACCCACACACGCACACACACTCACACACCCACAGGCCCACACACACTGTTGATTGCAGGACATGTTTTGTTTGCTGGTGCCAAAAAGTTGTAAACTGTCTTTTGGGCACACTTGCCAAATTATGTGCGAGTGGCTTTTGGAGAAAAACACATACTAGTTGATTGATTAACATGTTGCACACATCGCACTGTTTAAAACTACAAAAGTTGAAATTCAAGCAGTTTCAACACGCCGAACCCACCACCCTGTTTTTCTTCCGCCATTTTTTGACCCTACCTTTCCGCCCCCCCCCGAAATCCGGGCACACTTTTCAGCTCAGCAAACCGCCTTCCGCGCAGCAGGGCTGGTTGATGGAGGCATTTGCCGCCAGCAGCGCGGCCATAATCTCGCTGGCCTTGGCCTGACTCGCCGCCGCCGCCGTGACCGCGTAGAACAGAGGCGTGGCCTGGCTCCGCCGGACGCGGGGCCATAGGATAAGTCGTCAAGAAATTTCCCTATCCATATAATAGAAAGACTATTCACAAACCAAAAGCACAGACAAAAATCATTAAATCTACTAGATGTAAATGTTATAAGATAGAATGTAGGTGAGAGACTTCTCAAGAAGTAAAATATGATGAAGATCTGGGACGAGGACTTGGACTCTGCGATAGGGAATGAACGAGGCCACCGTTGGTTTGGGGGATCCCTCAAGGAAGCGACGATGGGTTGAATCGCCCCCGGCGAAACGGGCGGGTCTCTTGCGGAGGGGCGTCGGAGTCGAATTGTTGAGAAAAGTTGGGGAGGCTGCGAAGCCAATTCCCTTGGGGAATTCGTCACT